TCTTTTTTTTCCTTTGTGTTCCGTATCGTATATTCCATCTCAAAACAAACTTACAAGCTATAATACTATATATTTGAACTGTAGGACTACACGATCGTATTATGAAAGAAGTTTACATTTCGACGATTCTAGCATATACTCACTGAAATAATATAGGTAAAATTTGAAACAATACCAATTTTTTTCTCACTCACTGGCTCAGCATCACCAAGCATATACCTTTTGAATATTCCATAGCTGTTTTGTAGAATTGTCTGTCTTTGTTCAGTTCCATAAGAATTAATGCTTCTCCCTGGAAAATGTTTAATAAACACTGTGTTTTGTAAATATGCCAACTTAAATGAATTCATCATTTGACGGATACAGGCGCTAGTGCACGAAATGCTGTTACTGTTTCTGAATGCTGAACTGGAATTGTTTCCTGAATGAGCATTCTAATGCATTGATAAGTATGAGCGTTTATTAATCGTTGTTTATTAACATTTTTTCATAGCAAATCACCTTCAAAACTTTTAGCTAATCTAAATTAAACTTGAGGAATAATAAATATTTGCCATTTTCCCAATTTTGTGTTTAAGTTAAACGTGTAATAAAAATATAATTCTAGACAGCTCACGTGATTCTCCACACTGCTTTTAATAAATAAGCTACTTTCCTTCGATGTAACTTTTGGAGTGCCAGAATAAAACTCATACAAGCAGAACGATATGTGAAAGGCAGAGCTATTATTCATATTGATTCTGAGTTTCCAATGCTATTATCATCTTTGTCTTCTTCTCTGCCCAAGGTTTTTGTGGGTGTGGGTGTGTGCGGAGAGTTTATTTAGTCATGCACACAAAGTAATTAAAATCCCGTAAGTAAACAAATTAAAACAAGTGATATTCTTTCTCCAGGCTTGTTTTGAAATTTAAACGCATTTGTCAAACCGATACTTGAAAAGGGCTTATTAATTACACCGCCACGAAAAAGTCAGTTAAGGTTAATGCTGTGAAAATACGGTCTCAAATATTAAAGAAGAAATCGCTTAATTGCTTGATTGTTGGCATCGTTTAACTGTTCTCTTGGACCTTTACAAGGTTCCCTTTACAAGGTCTTAAAACTTCGGTCCCTTTCCCGGTTGCTGATAAAGCACGTCTCCCTTGAATGGACCACTTTAGCAGTCAAAACCGATTTTGATGGGCAGATAAGCACCACCTCTAAAGACTCTCCTTGGCTGTAGAGTAGCGGAAAGGGGAGGTAGGGGGGGAGTATGTGGGAGGCTTCCCCTGTCCCGTAAAGTAAAACGAGACCCGGAGAAATCCCTCTTTTGGAAAACAGAAAGGGTAAGAAAGCAGAAGGAACGGTTTGTGGCACTGGATGGAGAGAGTGCATAGAGTATTTTTAGATTGGAAGGAAATGTCCTCTTATTCTAATGCAGTGTGACTGTTTTAATATAATTTTGTTTGTTTAGAGGCAGTGTTTGCAGCCGTATTTTTGGTGATGCCGTTTTAAACAGTGCTTTCTTTCTGCTGTGATGCTCCTGTGTGTTTCATTGAATCCTATTAGAAGTTGTTACATGTACTAGAATTTTTTGTTCTAAGAAACATGAGTCCTCCTGGGGTTGAACGACAGAGAGAGAACTTGCACACTGCGTATACCACTTAAAGGAGGCAGCAAACTGTTAATTTCACAGAAAAGATGATTTCATAACTACTTGAAAAATAAGGACCTTCTGATTCTTGCAAAACAGATACCATTACAGTAAGCACTTGCAGTATTCAGGGATTAAATTTCATCAGGCTTCTACTCCTTTCTTCTGGAAAGGAAGGGGGAAATACACCTTTCTCTTTTTATCCTCAACAGTTTCCTTGTAGTCACATGAAATAATGTCCTTTATGGTAAAAAGTCTCTAGTCTATTCTCTACTGTAAAAAAGTCACCATTTCCACTGCTTTAGATAGGTTACTTTTAGGTTCACATTTCCTCAGGTCCCGTTTAGGTTGTGAGGCTTTGCTGCCTCATTCTCAACACAGTGTTGCCCAATCAAACTGCTGGTTTGCTTTAAGAGACTGCAGAAGTGGTGGCTGGCAAAAAGGAAGGATGCAAATTCACCACATCGCACTTCCTGGGATTTTGACTTAACTTCGAAGTTACTTTAGAAAGCCTATCCTTTGCTACTTTGGACGTAGCTATGGCCCTCAGAGTCACACTCAACGATTTTACATCTCAAGTTCAGATTTGACGTTGTTCTGGTGGGAGCATAAACAGGAAAAGAACTGGAAAAAAAATAAAGGTAATGCCGAGTAAATATTTTATCAACAAGTTTGTAAAGGAGAATAATGCCCAGTGGAATGAGACCACAGAGCCGATTAATTTATCTGGCCTTTCCTATGTTCTCCTGCGGGAGATGCCTTCTTTCCCCAGGGTGTAGTTACTACGAGGCCTGCCAGTTCCTTTGGGCTCCTGGTGGCTCCTGCCTACCGTATTTTGGAGTCATCAGGTACTTGAGCGAGTGTAGCCTCTTGTAAGCCTGACCTTGCGCAGTAAAAAAGGCACCTAATTACTCATTTAAAAAAAAAGAAAACACGCAGATTAACAGCAAACATGGCAACACCTCGACAGGCGACGTCACTGGGCATGCTCCCACCTGACTGACAGCTAATGCAAAGGAGCGGGCAGGTTACAAAACGCGCTGTAAACGTCTTCCTCGGCCATCGGGCACAAATCCATTAATTAACTTGAATTAATTGGCAATCTCATAACCCAAAGTTAAAGGCCTCGGTGTAGATCGGCTTTATCAGGCCCTTCGGTTAGGCGCCATCGGC